TCTTTGACAGTTTGAACACTGTGTTTGAGCTTTGAGATTCATTCTTGAGTCTTTGTATTCATGAACTCTCATTTTCAAACCTGCTACTCTTACTTCAGAGATCTTTGACTGTTCAAGTGTTTTTATATATACTAGAACAGAGGCATTTCTCCTGCTTTGTCTGAACTCAATTGAATTTAGTCATACAGGCTTCTTTCTCAGTTGAATAGAGTTGTATTCTTTCAATTTATTTTTAAGAAGTAGCATTCCTTCTTCACAGTCAAAAATTTCAACTGGAATATCATGAAGAATGAATTTGTCTCACTTTTCATCTCTCTCAGATAGAATTGTTATGTTTAACAAAGATTCTACTACTGACTTTCAGAGATTCTTATTCTGAATAAGGAATTCAGCACTGAATTCAGGCATTGTAGTCAGAATGATGAAGTTTTCAAAAAATGATGACTCAATTGAAGCTATAACTGATTTTTGAACTTCAATATCAGTCATCAACTGAGAAAAGAACTGCTGATTAATTTCATTTCTGATTCTGAAAATGAGATTTGAGTTTAGCTTGTTTCTTTGCAGAATATCCTGATTTGAGACTTTGAGAATAAGTCTTCTATTTCTGAAGATTTGAAAGTTTTTCTCTTTTTACATTTTCTTTTTCACTTTTCTATGAATAGAGGTATGAACAGTATTCTTCTCAGTTTTCTCAGGATTTTGAGCAGGTTTTGAGACAGCAGGTTTAGAGACAGCAGATTCAGCTGCTTAAGCATATGTTTTCTTCTGATTCAAAGAAGAAGAAGAAGTAGGAAAAAAGAAAGAAGAGCAAGATAAAGAGTCAGTGATTGTACAAGGAATTTTCAATGTTTTTTGAACTGTGTTTGAGATTCCAAGTTTGAACTTGATCATCTTCTGTAGTTGTCTAGCCTGAGTATGAAGAATTAACAGAACTTCTTCATTCATCTCACTCAGACACTGCTTTTCAAGAATCTTGCTTGCTTTTTCAAGTTTCTGTATTTCAAGAACTTGTTGTTTCTCTATTTCTTCTTTCTTTCTTCTCTTCAGAATTTAAATCTCAGGAATAGCATTTGAGAAAGCATCTTTTTCCACATCAACTGAGTGTATTTTTGAACTCATTGTTCTCACTCAATGAAAAGTCAGTCAGACTGTTTCAATTGAGATATTTCTAAGTCTGTTTTCAATTGAAAAGTTGGTCAGACTGTTTCAAAAGAAGAATAAAAGACTTTTATGTATAAAATACCTGATTTTTTTCACACTAGTTCAGTAACTAGATTAGATTTTTGAAGAGAATCTAATAAACTAAAATTGATTTTTGAGATAAATCAATAAAATCTTTATAATCTCTTTCTTGGGATACAGTGAGAAAGAGTATGATATCAATTGATAATGAATCAGATGATATGACAGTTTTTGAGAGAAAAACTGACAAAAAATAAATCAATTTTTTGCAGAGAAATTGATTAAAACTATTCAATTTTATTCTAAATCATTCAATTCTCCTCACACAACAAGTGTGCAACTCAAATCAGTTAATAAAGAGTGTAAAAAAGAATTAAGTATTAATGAAAGCTCTTCAGCCACTGAAAAAGTAATTCTTACTTAAAAGAATATGAAATTATAACAGAAAACAGCTCTGTTTTTTATTCTTTGTAAGAATATTGTATAAAACCCAGAGAAAAACACCTTACTTTTTCAAGAGAAGTAAAAAACTATTTCTAAGATCTTTTTTTTGCATTAACTGCTGCAGAAGAATGAGATAGAAACTGCTAAGATATACACTACTGTATACTCTCTATCAAGACTTTCCCTCTTCAGAGTCTTGATATTATAGAGAATATAAGTCTGTTTCTATATAATAATATAAATATTGCCAGCGGGATGTAGAGAAACTGATTATTTATATCTCAAAATAGAAGACTTTGTCAATGATTATATTAATATAGAGTTAATTCTCAAATTCAATAGAAACCTAGTATTGCTGTTCTCAATCCCTTACAGAATCTATTGAATATTGAGATATTAAAGCTAGATTTAATATATCTCACTGTGCAGGGATCAAAGGCTCAGTCAGACCTTGAAGTATACTGATTTTATAGTTGTTGGTGTGCTGTTGACTTGTTGTCCACTGATTATGTATTGAATGCTGTTGCCGAGGTATCTTTTTGTATTGTTCTGCCGGGGATGGGCCAGATTGAGAGGGGTAGTACAAGGGTGAGACTTGGTGTTGAAGTCTAGATACACTGATGACAGACCGTGGAGGTTGCACTTCAGAAGAGTCCGTTGATTATGTGCTTGATATTATCGCCGAGGTATCTTTTTGTATTTTTCTGCCGGGGATGGGCCAGATTGGGAAGGGCGGTACGAGGGTGAGACTTGGCGTTGGTGTTTTGGAACATCAAAGATGGACAGGGTTTTCGCGGAGGTCGCTCCTCGGATATCTCCACAACTACAGGTCGGGGATCTTCCAAAATCGAGAAGATTGGTGCATATGGCTAGGTCTCTTCACCTTACAATTTGTATGGCACTTTGGCCCGGGGTTGTGGTGTGGTAGGGGAGAACGGGGGATAATCCCACACAGGAGTTTCGAACAACGTCCGGTTCACGTTTGGCTGGATAACTCCACCACCACACAGGGTATGCGGTCGGCGATGGGGTCAGAATGCTCGTATGATCGAGGGCTTTTCGATGGATCTATCGGCGGGTTCTTATTCGAAAAATCGAGCGAGTTCGTGGTGGAGCGGTTGACAGATTTGAGAGATGTAAATAAGAGTCACAGCAGTCAGAAGAACTAGCTGTAAAGTGACTTTATATTGTCTCTGTATTATCTATGAAAGATCTCTTCACAGCTCTTCACTCTTATTTTCTGTTACTGCAGCTTGATAAGTGTCTGCAGTTTCTTTCTTAATTATTTGAAGATGTTTTGATGAGTTATATATCTGACTCAGCATCAGCAATGTAAGAAGATGAGAGTGTGTGATCAGTTAATCACTTCACTTCTCACAAGATCAGAGAAACTCAGTGTGAGTATAGTAAGAGAAGAAAGAGTTACAGAGACAAGCTGTGACAATGACTCTCTGAGAAGAATACATGACTTCTGAGTATAATGAAAAAGTATCAACTCTGACTGAAGATGAAGAGATGTTTTTCAGTAAGAACAGAATCAGTACTGTATCAGCAGGTATCTACACTTCAGAAATAAGAGAGAGAAATGTGTACAGCTGAATCTACTGATGTCATAGTAGTATCTATAGCTCTGAAGAGTGAGACATAATGCTTATTTATATATATGAAAGTGATATCATGATCAATTATAAAAGATGATCTGTCTCTTTAAGTCATTTATTAATGACTCTTAATAGGCAGGTGAGAGTGATCTTATCTGATCACATTCTTATCTTTCTTCTCAGAGGTCAACTGTACACAGTTACAGCTGAATGATACTCACTCTCTTGTCTCTCTTTCTCTCTTCTCTCATAGTGATTCGCATGTGACAGCTGTGAAATAAATGCTGTTGCTGCATGAGTTCTATTTTCAGACTTTGTTCTCAGATATTGTTGACTGCTGTGCTGTGCTTTAATACCTGAAGAGAGTAACTTAAGACAAGCACTCTGTGACAGTTTCTTATTTTCTGATATATATAGAGAGTTTTTCTTCTCTCTTGAATTCATCTTTCTTTTAATTTCTTTCTCACTTCTCATTCTACATCACTACAAGAGTGAAACCTGCTCAGAGACTCTTATCAACTCAAAGACAACTAAATAAAATTAAAGAATCTATTTCCTCTTCACTGAAGCTCTTCAGAATTCTTTTTTTTTCTATTCACAGCCTTCTTACAGCATGAGCTGTTTCTAGTAAGCTGCATTTTCAGAGTATAATCATTCTTCAATTATAACATCAGCTGATAGTCTCTGTGACAGGCTTTATAGCATCATCATTATTAGTTCAGATACAGAGATAAATGAATATCAGCTTCTGATATAAAAGCTGCTGTAATATGACAGAGCCGAAGCGGTGACTAGTCAGTGACATTATATAGAGATAGTTGTTTGAGAAGCTGTATAAGTGAGCTTGACTATCTTGCTTGAATAGTGAGCTTGTAGACTACAGAGTTATTGTGAGAATATCACAGATGTGATACTTAGTATACTAAGAAGATTGTATAAGACATGCAGTAACTCTTGTATATATTTCAGTAGAAGAAAAATAAATTGCTGACTTCTTTAATAAGAAGTCAGCATCTAGCTATTCTATATAGACAATGAGTGAATACTCTTCTTTTATTTCATGAGTAAGAATAGCTGGAGTGATATCTCAGTAGTGTCTTATTATCAAGAAAGAGTAATCTGCTGATCTTATATAGAAGTGAGGTTCTTATATTCATCAATCAGATCTTTCTATGATATATCTGAATGATGTCATAGAGTGATTGAAAACTGATTCAGACAGAATGAAATCATTCACATGAAATTAATGAGCTGTGTGAAACTGTAACAGAGTCTTAATATGACTGAGAGTATGATAATACTCTTCTCTTTAAGAGCATAGTTCTGATACTCTTAAGATTATCAGATTAGAAATTATCTTTGTTGTATAGCAATGATTATTAACTGATTAATAGTACATATGCTGCATGTGATACAAAGAAATAGATAAGTTTTTCTACTGACTGTCTAGGTCTTTCTTTTCTCATCTTCATTCAAATCAAACACATGATAAGTGAGTTTCTTATATATTGATTTGAAATGTGAAAAATGTAGTTAATAAGTGACTTGCAGATCTCTTAATATATTCTGTTCTATATATGAAATTCTCTGTAAAAGTGATGTGTTTTAGAGACAAAGCTAACAGTAGTGACAGAATTTTTTGAAAAGATTTCTTCTCTCTGTGACACATTTTTCTCCTCTCTTCTCATCTATAATAGTGAGTGCATGAGAGCATCATTCTTGAGAGATAATAAGAGGCTTATTCTGATGTTTTCTAGTGAGTAAACATCTTCATGATGCGGCTGTGATCTTCATGACTGTTAAGAAAGCCAGATTGAAGACAGCAGTGTTAATGAGCTGTGAGAGCACTGCTTTTATTGTCACACCTTCTTCTGCTTCTCTTGCAGCTGCAGTGATAGTTGTCATATCTTGCAGTGAGATGTCATCTCTTCTGCCAGCTGATGTGTCTGTGTCCGGTCTGTTTCCTGCCTCTCTCACTGCCATTGTGATGCTGCCTCCTCTCTCAGTCAATATAATAATGTATGACCCTGTGTGATTATTTGAAGAGAAATCTGAGAAGAGCTTGATTTCAAAGACAGTGACTCTGAGAAGCTCAATCTGTAGTTCTTCTCCTGCAGCATGCCTGAGCTCTGCTCAGACTGCTGCTGAGTTGAGTCTGCAGAGTTCTGCAGTTTCTTCACTCTCTCTCTGTGAAGAGGCTCTGATACAGTCTCTGATTAACACTGCTACTTATCTGCACTGTGTTAAGCAGTTGAAGAAGAGAGGGATTTTATACATCTATCTCTTCTCTCACTTCTGTTATTTTCATTATATCTGTAACAATGACTTCTGTCTCTCTGTAAGTATTACTTTACAGAAAGATATCATATCAGCTCTGACTAGAAGTCTAGATACTTAAGCAGTACAGAGTGAGAGTCTCAGAGCTTTAAGTATTGATGAATTCTATTAAGACTGAAGAGATCTCTCTTACTCATCTGTAAAAAAAGATGAAAGTGTGAATCTCTGAAATGAAAAAATATCTCAGAATAACTGATCTTAAGAAGAGATCAGTCAGTGCTGCTGTTGAAAGTATCACAGAGATTAATTACTGATTAAAGAGAATCTCACTTCAATTGAAGCAGATGACTGAGATACTTTATAAATTAATAAGTTAATACTTTAAGTATCTTTTATACTCTTCTACAGCATGCTCTTCTGCAGTGCTGCAGTGCTAACTTCTCAGCAGATAAAGATATCAGTGTTGAAGACTTTAACAGTGAAGAATGAGTTTGATAAGAGTATAATTATTGATAAGTAGACTCTGAGATTTCTTCTTTTTACTTTTTCAGCAGGCTGCAGCTCTATTAGAATAGCAGTAGTCTGTGAGTTGATAATATTAATTCTTATTGATTTCAAATATCTCTTTCTTTTCTTATTAATCACTTCAGGAATTTTACACTTGTATAGTCTCATTAAACTTCTAAAAAATCCTTTGAGAGAAAATAGAAGAAGAGTGCTATAGAGCTTATAAGATATTAGCTTATCACTGTAAAATCATCTCTAAAAACTCTTTAAGAAAAAATGAGAAGTCTTAAGTAGCATTTCTTATTCAATGTCTCTGATATATAATAGAGTAATCTCTACTAGCTGTCTTATAGCTTACAATCTCTTTCTCAGCATTTTTCAAATACTCAAGTGATTCTCATGAATTCTCTGATAATAAATAATTTTCTCATTTCACAAGATATTGAAGCTTACTGTAATATGTTTATTTATTCAATATTTTCTTCATAAGATATTCAGTATCACTCTTAATCTCAATATTATTCAGTCAAGATAGTTCTGTCTCAGAGTATTACTTATAAAGCTTTAAATAGAAAATGTGAAAAACAGAATAAATTGATTTCAATTCTGTGAGTAATTTTAACTCATATATCTGTTTACTTATCACTCTTGTTACTGAGAAAGGTTCTAGTCATCACTCACTGAGCTTTTTACACAGTCTTATTATCTTGATATTCTTTGCTGAAAGTAGCACTTGATTCTCTATTAAGAACTTTATTAAAAGATGTTTTTAATTATAGTATTTTATCTGCTACTTCTAAATATAATGAATACTTTTTACTGTCTTCTTATGAATTTTGTTTAAAAGTTTCAATCTCACTTTTACTTCTGATACTGAGAAATACTCTGTTCTCTGTATCTGTTTAATATTCTAACTGTCTATTCTTCTCTTTGAAATATCATCTGTGATGTCACTGAGTAATGAAGAATTGTATTCATAATAAGCATAGAAAAGAGATATCTTTAAGATTGCATTCTTTGCATTATTATATATGAATTCAGTGATCAGAAGATGTTTGAGTTAATCATTCTGATAATATAAATAGAATACTTGAAGATGCTGTTCTAGTGTCTGATTCTGATATTCAGTCTGATCATCTGTCTATGAATGAAATATAATACTGAGAAGACATCTTATTATAAGATGATAGTAAAAAGTCAATCAGTATTTACTGATAAAGAGAAATTCTTAATCTATTATCAATGATTTTGAAGCACTATGATTATGAATGATAGTATCTAAAAACAGGTCAGTCAATTCAGAGATTTTAATCTTTTTATAAATAGAGATATATCTGATCATCTTCATGAAGTGATTAATAATAATTAAAATTGAGTCATATTCTTTGACTCTTGTCAACTTCAGCAGATCAACTATAAAATTCATTGATAGATTCTGTTATAAGCTCTTTGAAACAGACAGTGATATCAACTCACTGTATTGCTTATACTGCAGAATCTTTATTCTTTGATAGATATTATAAGTCTTAATATACTCTTTGACATCTGTTCAGAGCTTGTCTCAAATATATTTATATTTTAGAAGCTTCTCAGTCTTCTCTAATCTGAAGTGCTCTATATGAGAATTATTATGATAAATTCTCAATAACTTCTGATACATCACTCTACTATGAGAAATAAAGACTGAATTATTCAGTAGTAGAAGTTTATATTCTTCTAGTTATCAGTGACTTGATTTCTTAGCAGTATCATCTTACTCAGAGTCTGTCTCTTTTAAGTTTAAACTGAATTCTTTCTTCTTCAACTTCTGAATTCAAGCTGTAGTAGAGACATTCCTCTTCTATAACTTATCAATGAATTTCAAAAGTAGTCAGATTGAAAGATTATAGACTGTTTCATTCTTTATTAGTTCAATAATTGTAAGATATGATATGAGAAGCTTATGATCTTCAGTGTCAGTTCTCTGCAGAGATCTGAGTTTTCTTTCATCTTCTATACTGAGTTATGCAGCTGCCTTACCAGCGCTATTTCTGAGCTTTAGAGAACTTTAATCCTCTGCAGTCAGCTTCTTCTGCAGTGATGATAGAGATTCTTTTATAGAATTCTTCTCTACATTAACAATATTATAATCAGACTGTCTAGATAGTGTATTAACAGAGTTAAGCTGATCTGAATAATATTGAATATAGAAATCATACTCTGAAAGCAGCTCTGCTCATCTGACTTGACATTCTGTCAAGCTCTTTGTTGTCAAGAAGTAATGCAGATTTGTATAATCAGTGAGAACTTACACTGAGTACTTACTACTCTGAAGATAATGTCATCAGATCTTAAAGAATTTAACAATTACTAACATCTTCTAATCATGAATATCATATCTTCTCTGTGTGAGTGATAACTTCTTAAAGAAGAAGATCACTGATCTTTATTCACAGTGTCTTATAGACTCTGTGAAAAAGTCTTCTCTCACAGATAATTCATTATCTATTTTCTCAGAAATGATTATTCTCTGATTCTTTCAATGTTGAAAGGTCTTCAGTGTTAACTGTGAAAATATTTCACAGATCTTATTTCTGAATGCATCAGTCTCACACTGACTGAGTAAGTCAGAGTTAAAGTGATTCAGTATTGTAGCATCTGTGAAAGCTTGTTTCAATTCTGTAAACACCTATGTGATATCTTGAATGAGAATAAATGATTCTGTTTTTCTGTCTTTCACACTTCTCTTTAACAGATCTGTAAGAGGGACAGTAATCTGTGAATATGCATAGATAAATCATCTATAGAAATTCACAAATTTCAGAAACATCTGCATCTCATGATATGTCTGTGATACTAGCCAGTTCTCAATGACAGAGACCTGACTTCTGTTCATTGAAATGCCATTCATCTCAATAATATAATCTAAGAAATCAATCTCCTGCATGTAGAATAAGCATTTTTCAGTGTTTATATAGAGTTGATACTGTCTTAAGTGACTCAACACTTCTTGAACATGAGTATCATGTTCTTTCTCTGATTTTGAGAAGATTAGAATGTTATTCAGATATACTATGCAGAAGACATTGACAAGGCCCTGCAGTGTCTTATTTATATAGATCTGAAAGATGGCTGAAGCATTACAAAGATTAAAAGATAAAACAAGATATTTAAAATTACTGTACTTGATATGAAAAGCTGTTTTCTAAATATTATCTTTATTAACTCTGATTCTATAATAGACATTCTGTATATCAATTTTTGAGAATATCTTTACTTCAGATAATTGATCAATCATCTCATCAATTAATAGTAATAAATAGTGATTCTTAATTATCATCTTATTAAGGCCTCTGTAGTCTACACATAGATGTAGTCTATCATTCTTCTTGAGTATAAAGAGTATAGACACTTCTGTCAGACTCTTTGATGAATATATTCAGTTCTTTAATTACACTTTCTCAAGATATTTATACAGAACATTCAATTTCTTTACAGACAAGTTATAAAGAGGTCTGTACAGTATCATTATACTGTCTTCAAGGTGAATCTTATATTATATCTTGATATCAGGAAACTTCACTGCTTCTCTTTCTGAAAAGACATTCTTAAAATCTGTAAAGAGATATTATATATATCTATCTTCAATGACAGATACTGCTGCTAATCTTGCAGTGAGAGTGATAACTTTTTCATCTATCTTCAAGTCTCAGTTATCTGTTACATAGTATATTGACTTAATCTTTTTCTCAAGATTCTTCTAATGAAACTCTTCAGATTTCTCTATCACTATCTCTTCATTAGTAAGACAGTATCATCATATCTGAGTAACTCAGTTAATGAGAGAATTGTTTTCTCTCAATTATAGAAGATCTAGAATGATATTCTCATCTATGATATTAACTGTATGAAGAAGCAGACTGCTTTTCTTGAAGATTTCTTCTAAGTCTGTGATTATATACTTCACTTAAATTATATTAAAACAGTGATATTTTATTTTATTAATAAATTTCATATAATCTGATAAGTCTATCTTCTTTTAACTCTTTATTAAAGAAAAGAAATAGAATATGAAGTTAATATCTGTTCTGAAGTTGAGTAGACATCTCACTGATATCTTCTCATTTGAGATATATATTATAATTGTAACATGAACTCAGAGATATAAGAATTATTAATTCTTCATTTCTTTCTCTTCTTTATCTTTCATAAATATATTTGTCAGAAGAGAAGTTAACTTTAAGAAGATATCTTCTCAGTTTCTTCTCTTCTTCAGCTTCTTATAATTACTGATATAGTGATTATCAGCTCTGCAGTTGAAATAGAGATCTTTGTTAAATCTTTTTTAATATTTCTTCATAGTAAGTGAAGAATCAGAATACTTGAGATTCTTCTTTACTTTCTTCACACTGAAGCTGTCATAACACTGTTTAGATTCTGTTATCAGTTACTTAGAAAGAGTCTTATTGACCTTTTTCTTAGAGAATTGATTATTTAAATAGATTCAGAAAGTCAGGTTGATAAGCTCAGTGTAATTAATTGATAAACTCTGATATTATAATATTATTATCTGCATCTTATAAGTCAGCTTTATGAGATAAAGCTATGTTTTTAATTGATTCAAATCATCAGTTAATTTCTCTTAATATTCTTCAAATCTTGTATTGAAATTGAAAGAATTCTCATTATCTTATTAATATAATAAGTTAAACTGCTATGCTGCTATGAAGCTGCAGTTACAGTGATCTTTGATTTAATTCAGTAAAAAGTTCTTGAATTCTTCTTAAGTTATAACAGTATTAATACACTCAAGCTTTCTCTTCTTGATAACTCAAGTAGTTGTAGAGATGTCTTCAAGAAGGTTGATAGTATATATTACTTATATCTTATGAGTATTATACTGACTCAGATTAAGGTGAAATTTCTGTTTAAGAGTACAGATAAAGCTGTGAAATTCAGACAAGATATTTCTCTTATATCTCAGAGAATCTCTGATTTTAATCTCTCTATCTTTATAATAAATGTAGATGTGTAGAGGCTGTGACAGTGATAGAGCAGTTGAAGAGCTTATATCAAAATATGCAGTGATTTCAGAAATCTCAGATTTCTACTGAGATAGAGATGTACACACTCTAGAAAATAATGTAGTATTTCTCTCAGAGAGTGAGATCAGATCAGTCTCAGTGTAAATATATGAAATCATATCAGTCTGTTAGAGCTTGACTGATTCAAACATATAATCAGATTAAGTAATTCAAATTGTAATGTAATGAAGCTGAAGCAGTGACTAGTCAGTAATGTTATATAGAGATAGTTATTTAAGAAGTTATATAAGTAAGCTTGACTATCTTGCTTGAATAGTAAGCTTATAGACTACAGAGTTATTACAAGAATATTACATATATAATACTTAGTATACTAAGAAAATTGTATAAGATATACAGTAACTCTTATATATATTTCAGTAGAAGAAAAACAAATCACTGACTTCTTCAATAAGAAGTCAGTATCTAGCTATTTTATATAGATAATGAGTGAATACTCTTCTCTTATTTCATAAGTGAGAATAGTCAGAGTAATATCTCAGCAGTATCTTATTATCAAGAAAGAGTAATCTGCTGATCTTATATAGAAGCAGAGTTCTTATATTCATCAATCAGATCTTTCTATGATATATCTGAATAATGTCATAGAGTGATTGAAAACTGATTTGAATGAAATGAAATCATCCGCATGGAATTGATGAGCCGTGTGGAACCGCAACAGGGCCTTGACGCGGCCGGGAGTGTGACAGCTGCAAAGAAAGAGACTCTGCACAGACTACAGCTATTCAGTGTATAAGACTCTATTTAATGACTCAGCACTCTCTGAAATGAGACAGTCACTGAAAAAATGTAAAATTCTCAACTTAGACACAGTTTTGATAAGACTCTTTCTTATATAACTCATGATGAGACCTTTTTCTTTACTGATATTAAGATAGAAAACTGTGAATCAGAGAATTCATAACATTTTTGAGACAGAGTATACAAAGAGAGAAGTACTGAAAGAAGAAATACAGCATCTGTATGTAGAAATCACTAGAAAGAATGAGCTGATTAATAGACTCAAGACTGAAGCCTGTGAGCTGAAGTATTAATGTCAATATTAAATCTATTATATTATTTCATCAGAGTGAAGAATTCTTCTATATAAACATCAGTATTACTCAGAATGTCTTTCTCTCATTAATACAATCTGCAGAATGTGTTATCAGATTATCACTGATATTATCAAGAGCTACTAGATAGAGATTTTTATAACCAACTTCATGTCTAATATTGAAATTATAAATGATGAAAAGAGATGAGAAAGTTGAAGATCTATATGTTGATTACTGAGTTGAAGTTAAGTCAAGTCTCACTGAGTTCTTTAACACTTTATCTAATACTCTCTTTTTTCAGCTTGATCTTCTCTTCAGCTGATTCTCTTTCAGCTCACACTTTTTGAGTCACACTTCTTCAACATGTACATTTATAGATGTATTTAGAAACTCCGCCAGACTGAGGCATCAATGCCTTCTTGAAACCACATACTCAAAGTCATAATGCTCATCCGGATAATTTAGACAAGTTCATTGTTTATTTAGAAGTTCTCATGCAATCTTTATTTGAGAAGATTTTAATGTGTAGAGAAGATCTAACTCTATCAATTATATAATATCATTGAAAACTCAACATCATCTATGAAGTAAGCTGTTTTATAGTGAAGTCACTAGACTGACTGTGTGACTATGTCTGAGACCAGAATCAGATTTTTTGATAGTCTCATTATCAATTCAACTGATCTCATTACATAGTTTTAACATTAAATAGTAGTTTTATACTGTCTCAGTGAGACTTACTGTCTACTCTTATCACATTTTTCAAATGAGATCATGATTTCCACTTCTCAATTTAAATTATTTTTATTGCTTTAAATGACTTTAAATCTCATTTAAGTGTTATCAAAAAGTGTTACTTTTTAAAAAATTAAAAATAGTCTAAAAAAAACCTTAAAATGTCTAAAAATAGTAACTTTATATCAAGAATGAAACTAAATGAAATCAAATGGAATCACTTTCTCATTTTTTTCAAGTCATGGTTTCATTTTAAGATCTGATATATAGTCACTTTACATGTTTTTTTGATAGCTAGTCCCAGCGGGATTCACGCCAAGAAATGTATGGGACCAGACCAAATGGGACCAAACGGGAAATTCATGGTCCCGGCGGCCAGTCTAGAAGTCACCACCTGTCATAGATGCTTTATGCAGTAACTAATAGGCCACAAATATTGCCTGAATATCATGGCCTCTTTCATTCAAAACTGTACATCTTCTGCTCATCCGCAGTCAGGGTCAAATTGAGAATAACAGAATGTGGATAGGCCAAATCATTTTACAATGAAGCCCCGACCTGTTTTTATGAATAGGCCATGAATCTTGTCCAAATACCATTGCCCCTTTCCGTTCAAAAGTGTACTCCTGCACTTGTGCTTCTGCGTCCCACCAATTTAGTTTCACCGTCGGGCACATATATACCCAATGGCGATGGCCTTTTCGTTCACGCGTGACACGAATGACACGAGAGGGTTCGATGAAGTCCTAGCGACGGCTTTCCCTTTTCGAGATTGTGGATCGTGGGTGTGGGGTAGATTGCCATGGGGGCAGATGTGGGTCAAATGGGCAGGAACCGGAGCGGAAAAATTGTTCCCGGCAGACGTCATTCTCGGCCTCTCAATTCGCGACCAAATACGGACGAAGCCAACAGTTTTCCATTCCGCTTTCTTCACGCAGAGCCTACCACAATCTCTTTATCGATTTTATCAATCATGGCTTTGCATCGGCATCAGTCATCTTTAGAAAAGGTATTGGACTTCTCGCAACCGTTCTCGCAACCGTTCTCGCTAACTCCTCAACAACGTCAAGCGGCAACAACCCTTTTCAGATACCTGATCCAGCATGGTGGTTTGGAGCAACTACCTCGGAAGGTTTGATATCTGTCTTGTTCTCTATAGTACTTGTAGCTTTTGATTCCGTGGGTAGTTTTAATAAGTTTTGGCTGTTGAAAACAATTAACATCGTTAAAAAAAATTGAAAACTGAAAAAAGAAGAAAAGAAAAAGGATAAATAAAAAAAATAAACATAAATTAATGACAGGATTGATTGGGATTGGTAGCCCTGGATTGAAGCCGAGTACGCTGAGATCTGTTGCAACTGGAAAAGTCAAAAAAAGTTGGAAGTGTCCTTATTTGAAACCATGGAGATAACCATTGCATCCCATCCGTATGCCCGCTGGCCCGTGGACACAAAGGTCGTTGGATTTAGGATCCGGCTGAAGGATTTCTCATCTTGTGCTATCTTCGAGACGAGGCAGACGATGACTTACCGGCATGAGGGCATGCCTGGCCTTCAACGGGGCGTAATGTTAGGGTTCGCAGCATGGCTGCTCATAGAATGTAAGGCTTAGGGCCAGGGCAGCGGGAACCAGGAGAGAATGGAGCCGCGGGCGGGTTTGTAGATGAGCGAGAGACCTAAATGGGCTACACCCATCTGGGGTGACCGTGCTGTGGATATGGTAGGCGTGGCTCTGAAGCCCCATCGTACTCTCGAGGAGTCAACTTCTGGGAGCCATTTGAAAACGTAACTGTCCTAGGACCACAATTCTAGGCGAAGCATTTGCAGCCAGGACACTTCAGCTATAAACGGATCTAGCATTTTCTCAATCCAGAGGCCCCAGTCATCGTCCCAACGTAATGCACAAACAGCTAGACAGTACTCCCAGTAACTTGGATACCAACCAGACTTCTCCCAGTCAAGAATGACAAGCTCCAGGGCCCGATTACTGGCAGTTGTCCGCTGGGGGTCGCTCCGAATCATAATATTTTTGCGTTGACAGTCACCATGAGTAAACGTCGGCTTATGGCCACAGAAAATGTGTGGCAGACATTGGCGGTAAAAATCTGCTCTGTAACGAGGCCGGCTGTCATAAGTGTATTTCCTCGCCATCGCTTCGTTGAGCGCGGCTTCGGTGGTGAACGGACCGTTGATTGTAACTTCTTCGTGCTGTGTCCAAAATATCTCATCAAGAAAGCATCGTTTGCCTATGCTACCATAGTAACCTGGTGATGGCAACTGGCGTAACTCCTTGCAGTAACCGCGCAGTTTTGCAACAATCGATTCCTTCTCTGCACACGTCAAACTCGCCCACAGTTTTGCGAGTGTATCACCAGCAATATGCTCCATGACGATGTAGTTTTTACATGTTTGTGGGTTTGAATAGAGAGCATAAACTCGAGGCACAGGGACCTTTGTCATTTCCCGAACAAACAGCATGTTCTCTCCTTCAACAAGGTTGACGCCCTTCCCGAACTTCACCACATAATGGCATCCGACCTGGACAACCCGTCGCCCTCCATACTCCGGAGATATATTCGGTGCGTTCTCAATTTCAGCTTCTGTCGGGAGAGGGAAAGGGACGTCTGCTGCATAGTATGGTAATCTGACTGAGCTGTCCATGGTTATCGGATGGTGACGTTAAGAGGAATGGAATGGTGTAGATTTAATTGTTGGGTAAGAATTTGTCAGGCGGTCGCGGCTTGGGTTAAATTAGCAATGGTAAGGATTATGCCCGCTCGAGCCCTCCCGTAATTATTGATGGTGGTTGTGCCCACAATAAAAAGCATCAACCACCCCACCTTTTGGGGGTGGGAAGATCATCCACTGCTACTTTCCAATACATTACTACACGCTCCCTCAAGAAGTTTGAATCTGCTTCCGATTTGGATACCACGTTGGCGAAACTACAGAAATAACCTCGCAAGGTGCAATAGCGCGACAAATAGGTCGAAAAAGAGAGAAGTGATTATCCCATTCCTACAATTCCTCGGTTCTTTACTGACAGGACAGGGAAATCACCCCACGAAATGTCTTTCGAGGTCTATCGGGTTGCCTACGCTGGTGTGCCACGTGACCACCACGCTATTTTCGTGGTAACAGATGACGATCAATCTGGCCATCTCTTCCAAGTAACGGGCAATATTCAAAATGGAATGACTTTCGAGGATAAACCCGGCAAGAAGCCTGAGGAGTCTGCGAGTTTTCAAAGCAAGGTTTTTGTTGGAAAGGTGTCGGCAGCGGTGGAGCGACGTTGACGCCAATTTTCCCCAAAGCTTGATGGAACTCATTCATTACGGCCCCCAGGCTTTGCTGGTTGAAGGAGTCGCGTGCCCCGGGAAGTGAGATCATCAGGTATGACCACTTGGCAAGTGAGGCGCCGGTGTTGAATTTGATATTGATCATATTCCAGCTGCCAAAGCGAGGATCAGCCGTCTCGTTGCCCTTGTCCCTTGGCTTCCGCCTTGAGTGCACCAGGGGAGCTAGCTTCACCGTCAAGCCAGAACTCGACATCTTTGGCGCCTGCCCCATGCTGTCTAACACAAGGTGGGTGGGCCATGCCTAATCCATCATCCATCCTAGCAAGTCCAAAGATAGTCTTAACTCTGGGAATTATCTCATTGGCTCTGTTGCGCTTCTCGGGCAGATGCGTGGTTTGGACTTGAACCAATTTGAGAAATTTTTCCAGCGCTACGGTGTTCCAAACACTGTAACTGCTCATGAGTGCCGGTAAAGGGCCAGTGTGATAGAAAGCCCCATGGCTGATATTGATGTTGACCAGGATGTGACAAGTCGCAATGCGCACGCTCAAAAAGAAGCCCTGAATGACTTTCAAGCCAGAACTGAGATCTCCTCTTGCTGCGTTCTGGTGGAGGGAAAAGCTCTTTGTCAATCCAATGGTGGCAAGGTTGTCCGCGGATTTAGCGTAGTGGTTCAGAAAGATATTCAGAGCCTGCATCAACTCCTGCTTGCCTACAAATGACTGGCCAAGATCTGTGAAGTTCAGGTAGTTAGTCAATTCGCTAATACTTAAACTCTTCATGTATAGGACGCGGACCTTGTATGTGGTGGCTCTAGCCGCCGGCTCATCTTCATCTTCAGAACAATAGTGGACCTCGATGATGGTCTCATCACTCGAAAACTTAGTTTTGAAGACAAGGGTAGACCGGAAGTCAGTTGCAAGGTTGCCTTGGTGCCAATTCCGCTGACTGGAGCAGCAGCTGCATGACCCGGGAACGCTTCCTGCCAACGGCCTCTGGGCTGATCTGGATGCCGTATTGATATAGAATCATGCTTGATGGCAGCAATAACTCGATGTAATTTGTCGTGAGTTCAACTTTGGTGCCCCTGGTGCCATACCCCGGACAGCTGGGGAAGCCTTTGATTAACTTCAAACTACCAAGATCGAATGTCTTCTTTGTCATTGGATGCAACGCATCTTCGACTTTCATGACTTTGGGATCTTGGTCTTGAGGGTTGCTATAGACATGGTTAGTGTGTTGAACAACTGCACCTTTGCTAGGTGAGGCGCCATCTTACGAGAAGACCTGGATGGCTTGCTGCTCACTAGGCACTCCATACCCTCCTCTTCCACCTCCACCACGACCACGACCCTCGCCTCCACCTCTATCACCTCTAAAACCACCGCTGGCTCCTCGCCCTCTGGAATCACCTCATCCATCTCTTCCTCCGCCTCCGCGATCTCCACGGAAGCCACCCCGTCCTCTATCCCCGCCTAATCTATACTCACTGGACATAGTACTGAATGGCTGAGTGGGGCACTCCAGACACAATATAGAAGACGATACTTAAGGCTAAGATTACGATAAATGCGGGGTTTTGAACTGATGAAGGCTAGCAAACTAAGCGAAGTGGGGTAAGCTACAAGTGTTTCTAATCCCTGCCGGAGTTTAAGCGCGCCGCTACGTCATTTGCAACAAAGAGAATCCCAGTGGTGAATGGGATGAAGCAACACATGGCGCCTCTACTTTATTAAGAGCCCTTTTACCCAATTCGCCGTAAGTAGGCGTGATGGGATTTTCCAATCATGATTGGTTGTTATTGGTGGCTCATGAGGGACTCTTCCAGAGCCTTCTAGTAGACTTTGAGGGCCTTAGCACTCAACGATCCACCCCCCACCCCCCACCCCAGCCAGGCCGCAACACTACAAACTCCAAATCTGGCAGAGCTTTAATCTCGAGACAATCTATTCATTTTTTTGTGCAGTATCTGATATATGGCAGAATCGTTTTAAACCTTCTGTCTTCGCACGCCATGGTTGGCATTCAGCATTGCGGCGAATGCTTTAAAACATCCTATTGCAAGTGAGAAAGAGCGACGGGGTTTCTGTTGAGATACAAATTTCCAGTCAATGATTTATTATGGTTTAAGAATGTATAGATGGATATCCAGAATCAATGCTCAGAGGGAGCTCTTAAGGTAAATGCTAGTACCTGAGCGACGGCAGTTAAAACATGAGTGATCGCGAGGGCACACGCGAAACGGCAAAATATGGGCATAACAGCCCACACCGACAAGCAAGATGCAAAATCGTCGACTTTTGCTAGTCCCGAATGAGAAGTCGTATCAAGACTTCAGATCCGGAATCTATTATCTTTTCCATGTTTGCACGCGCATCATCATACGTGTGATCAATGTTCTGTAGGAGGACCGCTCGTGGTATCTTATCGACTTCCCAGGTTACTGAGACAAATGAATTCTCCTTTTGAAAGTGTGTAGACATGATATCGTAATATGTACCCATGCACAATTGTTCATAGGTCTCCACGTAACTGGAACTCCATGCAGTCGTAGGGAACCCGTCATAGCCTATGAAAACCCCCAATGTCTGAACTGGAGGCTGAGAGACCAACATCCTTCGCCAGCTGGCTTCTGGTCTTAAAAATGGATTATCGCCTGTGCTGGAGTTTGCGATATGAAAGTAGGTTCATAAATAACTCGCGATCACACACGGGTGCGAATACAGAGCGAGATCGGGCCTGATTGTCGCCTGTGCTGGAGGTTGCGCAATATGAAAGTAAGTTCGTATAACGGCTACCGCCATAGCGAATATATCGCTCGTAGATGCGAGATCGCAATTGTGAATCGGTCTCGAGAGGCGTTGGGGGTTGTTGAATATCTTGAATCAGTGGATCTAATGTTCACTCCGATCAGGCGGATCGGCGTCTCGGAGTTCTGCATTGTCAGCGGGAGACAGTTTACGAGAAAAAGAGGCGTGCAGGAATGGACTGAGGTTTTTCTTTCAGGCGAATTGCCAGAAGGCACTGAACAGCCCTCTCTCCGTGTCGCCCTTGCTCAGCAGCCACAAGCTCCTGGTGAACCGCTCCATTGGTCGTTGTTCGTCGCCCGTGGACAGGCCGGGTGTATCAAGTCAAGGGCGATGCAGAATTCATGCAGTACCAGCCTTCAGATATCCAGATTGACATCACGGTGTCAGCAATGTTCTTGAACATGTATAACCTGTAGCGCACTGCAGCGCTTTCTGTTATTGTTCCCCACTCAATATCACTGTGTTTTTTATACTGAGGAGTAAAAGCACAGAAGTATTCTGAGTACAGCATTGAAATGAGATGATTACTCTGTCAGTAAGAATAGAGAATGATGAAAGTTAGAACTGAAGAGCAGAGTCATCATTCAAAATTTTATAGAATTGTCAAGAGAAAAACATATTCATTTGAGCTGTGGATTCTTGATCATCACAGGATCACAGAAATCAGTTCAATGACCTCTGCTGTTCACAGACCAGCATGGCCACAAGTTGGCTGTCTCTGGGCCTATCAGGTCCATGAACTGCAATCCATGAATCTGTCAGGCCTACTGGACCCTGCCTTCAGCATGGTGATCTAGGTCACCAGCTCTACTGCACATGTTCTTAAGCACTGGTCATAGTATCTCTTCTCTTGATCATTGTGCTACTGACTGTATGATGTAGTCTCTGACCTTTTGTCAATCTTCTTCTGTCACTGTGCCTCTGGCCTGATTGAACTTCAGTTCTCAGATACAGATACAGTTTTAAGAAAATATTGATATTAATAAAAACTCTCAGCAGAAGACTGTACTGTCTGAACTCTTATTATTACTTTTCTCACTCTGAATATATATATATAAGCTTCTTTTCATCTCAGATTCATCTCTCTTTCAATTTCTTTTTCATCTCTTATTCTACACTATTGACTGAAATCTGCTGTGAAGTCCTTATATACTCAAAGATAACTGAGTGAATATAACAGAACTTATTTTCTCTCTCTAGAGCTCTTTATCATTTCACTTTACTGATCTGTAACACAGCTATCTTTTCATCTCTCAGCTATAATATCAGTTAATAATCTTTGCACTGTGATTATCATTTCAGATGAAAAAATAGATAAACAGTCTCTGATATAAAGAATATAAAGATTACAAAGAAAGAGATTATATATAAACTACAGTTATTCAGTCTATAATAAATTTAATAATTTAATAATCTCTGATTCTCTGAAGTCTGAAATGAAGCAGTGACTGAAAAAATAAAAAATATTCAATCTTAATATAATTTTAATAAGACTCTTCTTTATAAGATTTGATGAGGCTTCTTTCTTACTAATATCAAGATAGAAAAGAATAAATCAGAAAATTTATACTATTTTTGAGACTGAGTATATAAAGAGAAGAAAGTTAGAAGAAGAAGTACAGCATCTGTATACAGAGATAATTAAGCTTAAGACTAAACTCTGAGAGTTAAAGTATTAATTTAAATATGAGATCTGTTATAATATTTTATCAGAGTAAAGAACTCTTCTACTGTATAAATATTAGTTTTATACAAGATATCTTCATACTGTTATTGATAATAACTATTCAAAGTATCATAGTTCTATCATTAGTATTCTCAAGAGTTATTAGAATTAGATAGAGCTGTTTTCTCTCATTTTTTTTAGTCAGTATTAAAAATATTATCTTGATTATGATTTTATTCTAGTTTTAAGATATTACTTATCTCTTTCAAATACTACTTATATAAGCTTTTTAAGAAGAGTTAGTGCCTTCTTCTCTCTCTGAAAGAGAAATATATTTTTAAAGAGACTGTTTATAAGATATTAATTAGAGGATTTTAACTGAGTTAACTATTAATATAAAATAAATCTAAGCAGCTAACTAACTAGAAATGAAAAGATTAAGTCATCTCTCTGTATCAGTACTGATATAATTCATGTGATCTCAGTAATATTCAATTATTCTGCTATTTATTCTACTATCTGATACATCTTATTCTCTTCTCACTTATACACCAGCTTCAGAATCATCTGAGAAAGAGGTAAAATAATGTATTTTTAATAATCTAGTGTCTTCTCTAACACATTATCTTTCTAACGGCTGAATACTAATAATTTGCTCTGATCAGTGAACGCGGACGTGGCGCTCCTCGCCTGGGCGTGAGTCAGGTGAGATGATGAGATGCTCTTCTCCTCTCAATCTTAATTCAGAACTGAAGCAGTGAGTTGCTTCATGTCTTACTCATCTGCTGAAAATACTCTAATATGATTTCTCTTCAGAAGTCAGTGAAGTGATGCCTCATTCTCAAAACTATAGTTCTCTACAGAAAGTTAGGGAATTTGCAAGAATGCTGATAAAGGTGAACTCTTAGAGAGTGTCACGAACTTGTACATGTTGAGTATCACAGTGATTGAAACACGTGTAAGAGATCTGAAACTTGTACGTCTGTATGTATATATATATATTGAGGATCTCACCTCTGCTGAATAGAATAACAATAAAAATGAACACACTACTATTACTTACTTCAACAGTACATAACAGCAATAAAATGAAACCTCATGCGGCGCCGACATCTCTGAGAAGTGCCAGAATTCTGAGTGAAAAGACAACAAAAACTGAAGTCTTATACAGTGTCAGCATCTCTGAGAAAGTAAGCTTCTTAAAAAGATGAGTCTCATACAGAGTTAGCATTCTTGAGAAAGTGAGTTTCTTGAGAAGTATCAGAATTCTGAGTGAAAGAGTAATAAAAAGTGAAATCTCATATAATATCAGATTCTCTCAGAAAGTAAAGTCTCTTGAGAATGTTACATTTTTGAACTATTAGTCATCAGAGTAAAATCTCTGAGAGATATTATAATCTCAGTAGAGAAGATTATAAAATTAAAAGTCTGTAAGAAGTTAACACTTATCAGAGAATAGTATCATACTAAGTGAAAAAGCTACAGAAAAGATACTATAAGAGTTGTTATATTTTTTAACAGTCACAGATAATGACAGTTCTTGAGATAAAAAGATCAACTTGAAATCTTATTAATTCTTGAAATTTTAGAGTTCAGCAAGCATCATAGTATTGAGTATATTTAAATTTATATATGAATAGATTGTAGATTCAGCAGCTGTATCATGACACAGACTTACAAAAGCAGTTAATAAAGCTTAGAGTAGATTTACATTTTAAAAAGAGCTTAGTGATGATTTTAAATTCATTGTAATTTACAATAAATAAAATCTTTCATTATCTTAAATCTGTTTAAGTGTTACTTGCTTTTCCTTCTTCTTCACTCTAGACTTCTGATATTTCATGTAGTTCTCACTTATTATTCAGAAAGAGAGAGAATAATATTTCTTCTATTTCTATAAGAGCTATATTTTTTTCCAGAGTTGTATCAGACATGTCACTCACTATATCTTTATCTAATGATGAAAAGTGACTATTCAAAGTATCAGTTAAAATTAATTGTAAAGTACTGATTATCTTTATGAATAAGAAGATAGATATCTTTGCAGTAATAGTTATTACTGCAGTGTGTCTTTCTATCAGTAACATATCTGTATAAGACTACTATACTCAGTTTATAATCTGAGACTTGATTATTATCACTTAATAGAAGAGAGATTTTAATTTATAGCTATAAGTAAGTGTTATACTTTATTAAGTCAAAAGTCACTTTTTCAAGATATACTTCTATCAGATCTGACTAGTTGATTTGCTGCAGTGCTTACATGCTTAGATCATGATTTGCAATCTGAAACTATAACACATTATTTTAATTTATAATTGAACTCAGTCACATAATCTGAATACATGATCATAATTTGCTAACTGAAACTATAACTCTTATCATTTTAACTTAATTTTTCACTCAGTCACACAATCTGATTATTTATACTAAAAGAGAATATAAAAGTGTTCTATTTAAAATCACACTGTGCAGAAAATGAAATTCATTAATCTGAATAAAAGAATAAAAGTATATAAATGTAGAAATTGAAATTACAGAAATATAAAAATTGAAACATATACTTTTATACATTAAGAAATGACTAAGCCTTGCAGCTTGTTGAATGTGAAGATATTATATTAATTATTAATCAGATACAATGAGATGCATAGTACTAGTCTGTAATCAAAAGCTTAAATAGAGACTCAGTGAGTCAGTATTAGCTGCTAAGAAGCAGTGTAGCTGATTCAATATAAGAAGATCTGCTGAGAATAATATTAGCATAATTCTATTTATTCTTACAAAACTTAAAAGTATGTAAGACTCAGTGTAAAGATATCATTCTAGATCTGTAAATTTAGAAAAGTTCTTAGAGTAAATGTAGAAATTGTGCTGAAGTAGAAATTATACTGTAATAGTCTTTTTCTGTGCTCTACTTCTGTGTTAGAACAACTTCTACTACTGCTGTGCTAGAACTACTTCTACTTCTATGCTGAGACTACTTCTGTTCTGAGACTACTGCTGTGCTGAGACTACTTCTGTACTAGAACAGCTTCTAGTGATCAGAGCAGTAAGTCTTCAATTGTTTTAAATATATATAAAGATATCTAAGTGTATTTCTTGTTAATTCATGAAAAATTGTTGACTCATCTGAAATGTAATTAACAGAAAACCTGTGCTGTATAAAAACACAAAATGCTCTTTGCAAGAAAAACCAGAATAAAAAGAATCAGACAGTCATTCAAGTTATAAAAAGTAAAGGTTCACAAAGTACTATATAAGATAGATATGAAAAGTGAGAGACTATAAGAGCAGACAAGATCAAGAAGCAGAGAGAGAAAGAAGAGTGTGTATATTACATAGTTAAAGAAAATGAGAAACTTCAGCAAAGACTGTATAAGCTATGATGAGTTTCTGAAGCAAGGAAAAATATATAAACTGCAGTTAGAAGTACTATGCTGAACTTTGATATTCATTCTCTTGACATAGAGGTTTCATTGAATATTTTCAATAAGTATCAGTGACTGTAAGATGCCTGCTTTTTCCACTCTGTGATTGAAAGAAAGAATCAATTTTGTATTAATTATTCTATGTTATTAACTTCTATTTATCATGTTATGCTACTAACTCTAAAGATGAAGAAACAGAATTATTTCTAATCTATTTAAAGACTCTAAAATTTATAAAAGACTGAGTAGAAGAGTTCAAGTGAACTGCTCTGTGAGATCTTTTTCCAGAGAAAAAGTCTAAAAATGCACTCAAAAATATCAAGAAAGAGATGAGTATGCTGAGATAAGTAATTTCAAAAAATAGACTAATTGAAAAATTATTAACTCATTGTGTAGAAGTTATAAGAAGGGTAAAAGTTATTTATCTGAACTTCTTACATAGTCAGATTAAGAAAGAAAGTGAAACTTGAAGATTCTGAAAGAGAAAATTATAAGTTTCTAGTATTTTAACAAATTCATCAGAAGTCTATATAAAAAAGCATAAATTTATATTCTAATTTCAATAAGTGATGATACTAAAGAGTATTTAAATACACTTCTCTTTTCTTATAGCTAGATAACTGCTCTTTTATATACTTCTTATCATAGTAATCTCTCTACATGCATGTTTCTAATGTTATTATCATCACTTCAGTTTTCCTGGCCTGCAGTTCAAGCAGGTTGTATAATTCTTTTAAATTATAACTCAGTCTAATATCACTGTATCAGTTAACAAACTTCAATTTAGATTTGAATTGTAACTGTATCTGATGGGTTTTAATCATCAACTTCAGAAGCATAATATACAAAAATAGAGTTCTGGCATCTGTGAGAATTACTGCACAGTCAAAGCCATCTAATTTATGAATATACTGTCTTGTATATTCTTCCAGTCTCTTTCAGATGTAGCCCACCTCTTTCTGACTAAGAGGTTTATACATTTGCTGAAAAGGCATTATCGGTCGGCTATCTGCAAGAGCTGTATTATAATAAAGCAACTCAAGTCAGAGAATTTGTCAACGGTTCAAGTGGGCGATGGCAAGCGGAGTTAAAAAAGGATTAATGAGGGCCAACGATTGCCTTGACAGCTCCTTAGCACTCAGACCTGTTCATGGTTTGAACTTTAAAAATTATGGCCCCTTCAATGATCTACCAATATTTTCATCGATCATCGCCATCTCCGCAGATGCATTCTTATTCCAATGCAGAGAAATTGACTAGGTGCAGTAGTAGAGATAAGTCTCAGCAATCTCGCCTCATGCATGATCAGCTTTCTGTAAGAAGAAAGTTATGATCCTGATTAGTGTTTGACTATGACCTAAGTTGCTGTAAATAGTAGATCACTCACAAGTGAATCTGCGAGTTGAGACACCATTAGCTCTTCATCCTCAATAAATCCTCATTGTCTCTTGGTAAGGCTATCTATGTGATAGGTCTGAGCTCTGTCAAAGTCTAATCAGACCACTCTTTCTGGGTCATTTCTGACAATCATCATGTTCCTCGGTTTGGTGTTGTAATGCAGAACCAATGCTCTGTGAATCTCTCAAATGCCATGGATCAAAGCCTCTCCCCACTCCTTTGTAAAATTGTGCGGATAGATCATCTCCATTTTTGGAATGTACTCCAAGAGGATGGCGCTAGGAGGATTCTTGTCATTAAGAAACATCTTCAGGTGAGGTTGATAGTGTGATAAGTCCATCTGTTCCATTGTCCCATAGAACTGAGGCACGATTCCGCGGTCGCAAAGGCCGTGCTTCATTAGTCGTCTGTAGGCAGTCGATTTGCAGATGTGAATGTTTGTTTCGCGCTCAGGAGGTGCGGGCTGGACTGGCCTGTTGTCATGATGCTGTCCCAAATGTTAGAATGAACTGATGTTTTGAAACACTCCAGGTACACAGACCACTTTCATTATACATATCTTGTTGCGAATATGAACAAGGAATATTTCTGAGAATTCTGAGCTGAAAAGCTTTCACCTAAATGTTATTTCAGAGGGATCAACGTCAGTAAAATCCATGAGATGTTGTGTTTCGATCTTCGAGTTTGCTTTGTTCCCCTTCAAAATTCTAGGTTTTGCGGGAAAAGGTTGAGCCTTAAGAGAGAAGAGAGCAGGGAATAGTTTGATTTGTTTTGCTCAATTTCGATATTCCAGAAATTTTGATTCTACCCCGATGGACTCGACCATATGGCTCCACTGCGGTTGCGATTTTAACGAGGCTGTGTCAAGCACGTACATCTTGTGGAGGAGCTATTGGTTGTCATTCGATACAAATGCTAGACAGGTCGAGTGCTTTTGGATGAGTCACCGCTCAGCAACAAGTATGAAACTTGGGCCTCTTCAGTTAGCCAATTGAATTCGGTTTGTGCCACTTCAACAACACCCCATATCCTGCGGCTTCTCAGGCATCGCCCTATTACGAAGACATAATTTGTTTTTCTTGGTTTCCAACACACATATATATAGCCGAAATGTGTTCTAATTGTCCTAGAAGAATTCCCCTAGGATGTGTGCAGTTATTAAAAAGCTCCAGGTCTGAATCTCTCTTTTCATCTTATGGCTCAGGTCACGCTTATCACGTTCTTACAGCAGCCACTGGCGGCAGTTCCGGTCCACCCCCCACCCCAGCTAGGCCGCAACACTACCAATCAAGCATACAGCTATCTCGATATCCGTGGGCTCCAGATCTGGCAGGGCTTTAATCTCGAGACAATTCTCCAGCAGTACCATAATGTCTTGAACGGCGCGGTGATCGCGGCGTCATACATGCAGATCCCTGATGCTGATTTTGACTAATAAAGGCGTTGGTTGATCTAGCGGGCCACCGGGAGTTGGAAAGACTTTCACTGTTGAGGCAACTTCTGAGCGGTTTAGGCTCCCTCTCTATTCGGTAAGCCGGCAATCCCAAAGGAATCGGTATGTTCCGCGCTAAACGTTGCAGATATCGGCGGGCGAATTGTTCGCCAATCATGGCGATCCTCTCAAGCTGGACGTGACACTTGACCGAATCTTCAAGATCGCTAGGCACTTTAATGCGATCTTGCTGCTAGATGAAGCAGATGTTTTTATTGAAAAGAGGTCAGCATACCATGATGGCCACAATCACCTCATGACAGTTTTCCTTCGCAAACTTGAATACTACAAAGAAATCCTCTTTCTCACAATCAACTGTCTGATTGAGTTCAATGAAGTGATCCTAAGCTGAATTCACTTGAAAGTAAAATATGAAGATTTGACAAAGAAGTCCTGAAGAGAGATCTGAACATATTTTCTTTCAAAGATGTCTACAGATGAACCACCCACAGTCATTGAAGATCACGACCTCAACTGTTTGGAATCAATTGTTCTGAATGACAGAGATGTGAGTTCCAAACAATAGCTGGTCAAAGATTTCTTCTGACACAATTCCAAACCAGATCAAAAATATTACGTCTGTCGCCCATGTGTTGGCTATGGTTGAGGGAACGCATGTGACATACAAACACATGGAATTCGCCGCGAAATCGAATGACAAACGGAAAGCTTGTACACATAGAGCGGGAACTTAAATCGATGGCTAGAAATATTAGGGTGAATGCATGCTTTCTAAACAAGTAATTTAGTGATGCTTGCATTTGCTAATATAGAAATGGAATGGCTTCATTCTTCAGTGGGGCTGATTAACTTTCAAAACAATCAGCCCTGAACACCCCTGCTACCTGGACATAGTTCAAGAACTTCATGTATCCCAGTTTCAAAACACGATGGATCGCCATGGGATTAGATGAAAGCCTAGGCTAGATTTACTTTCCAAAAAGAGCTTAGTGTGGTTTCAAATTAAACCTAATTTACTACAGAATCTTTTCATCTATTCTTGCTTCTTCTCAAGTTTCTCTTGCTTTCCCTTCTTCCCTGCTCTAGACTTCTGATATTTCATGTAACTCTTGCACATTGTTTGAGATGGAGGGGGATAATGCTTCTCCTGTTTCTGTAAGAGCAATATCTTTCCAGGGCTGTATGCATGGCACTCACTATATCTCTGTCTGGTGGTAGAAAGTGGCTGTTCGAAGCATCAGACTTGTTAAAATTAATTGTAAAGTATTACATCGCCGTGCCTATAGTTTGGTGGGAAATGCCTTGAGAACAACAAATAACTATCAGAAAGTTGCAGGTTTACATAAAATTTGATTCATGCCCTGAAGCACTGAAAACAGGGCTGACATGATACCGAGCGACTCTTGCCCTTGCTCTTGCTGTGACGGCATCAGCGCTCTTACCCTTCCTGAATTGATATCACACAGCAGCTAATAAACAAATTGATGGGTAGAAGTAAGAAGCTGTCTCAAAGTCTTTACCAATGCACCTAACACCAGAAACGCAGAGCGATCAACAGAAATCTAACATTCAAAAGCAGCACTTGAATCGGCGGAGACCCAACACTCTTATGTCATCGGTGAGGTACTTGGTCGACCCTCCGCTAAACCAGTAGAAGATGTAGGTATGTCTAGAGAAGACTTAGGCGTGAGCGTAAAACCTCGCCCGTGCTTTCTCCCCACCATCATCAGAAATGGGTGGTGTATTGCCTGGTGAAGATGAGCTTTCATTTCGAGCGTTCCGGAAGTTGATGCTTGTCATATCCCGTGATAGCTGCTGAACTGAGGTATCATTGAGGTAACCGCCAACCTGCCTCGATCTCCACCCAAGCCCTCGATTTTTACCATGAATGACATTCCCGCCAGTGGAAACCATGAATTGTATAGCGTCGCCGGTAGCGTCGTTGTCAATGGTGCTAATGTTTTACAGAAGCAGAGAGACAAAGAAATGAGGGGGAAGAGCAAACAAACAAGACAAAATAAAGAAAGAGGTAAGCATCGTGATTGTTGACAATTCATGGGATGCTCGACACGTGTCCATAGAACCTTCCAGAATTGAAGCATGAGAATAACGCCAGGAATGACCGTAAATAAAAAAGGGAATTCGTTGTTACTTGGTGGTATCAGGGCTACGTACAAATGGCCGAAGACTTAATTTCGGAGAGACTTGCCGCTAGCACTGTTGATTGAGCTGGCTCCGGTTCGTGCTCTTTTAGTATGCTTGGTCGAAGTCGGAGGATCCTCAATGCTGTCATTTGTGTGTGCAAAGCTCCACTGTGCAGCATCGTGGAACTCGGCTTCATCAGATGTGGCTGATGTATCAGAGTCCTCCAGGATGATAGTGGGCTCAGAGGTTGCCTCATGTTCAGATGTAGAGAGGAGTTCGGATCGTGCTTGCATGTGTCTCTTGTTTGCAGATTTGATAAACTCGTCCCTCCGTTCCATTGTCCAATCCCATGCATTTCGATACGCGGATGCCCCGCTCTGAAAAGTATCTGGGTTATCAGTCATCGCAAATGATCTTAGCGGGGTCATAATGTATTCAGAACGGCCATTGCTTTCTCGGGGGGCAGTGGGATGTGTTGTGTAGAGCTTGAGTTGGCTGGCTTGGTAGGTTGATGTTATTGTGTAGGCGTTATTATCGTAGGCAGGTTCATCCTGCTTGTACAACTGAAGTTTATATATTCCTCGAGTCCTCATTGCACCATTGTAACAAGCTTGCCGTGTAGCAACAGCAGGTGACCTGTCAGGACCTTTAGCCTCTTGAAAGAAGTTTGGAGCTATCAGAAGGTCTTTCTGTGTTGATGGAATGATGAAGTCACTAAGGTCATCACAGATTTGATGATTTAGCTGTTCAGAGTGAGCATCAAAAAAGTGATCTGGCTTTGCATTTGTCAGTGTGCCATCAGTTAGAGGAGCAAGGTTCTCAAATGAGTAGTTCTCTTTCATACACCTAACATCATCGATATGGTCTTCAATAATCAAAATGGCCAAGTGTACAATAGGTTTCTTCTTGGATGCATTCACATCCACCTCTCTAAACTCTTCAAATTCTTGCTTGGAGAACTTTGAGAGTGAGAGAGAAGCTTGGGACTGCGCCAGTTGTTCATTGAGCTCGAGCCAGTTATTCAGTTTAGCCGGTTTCTGGCCATCGGGGTACTTATATCCAGGGGGATAGACACTGTGATCAATCAGATTTTGTTGAAAGTTCCGATTATAGGCGGTAGTGCTTGTAGTCTTTGTAGTGGTCTTATTGTTGCTATTGTCTGGAGCAGACCCTGCACGTTGCTTCCAGTGGCCTGAACTGCTTGTGCTCATTGATTGATAAAAAGAGATATGAGGATCTGGGAACTGAGCTGAGGTGTCAGCATGAGTGCCAGCATGTCGCTATAATTACATATATTCCTAAGGTCGGACAAGTCAGGCCCGCCCCACCTGGAGAGCCTCTTTATCTCCTTAAGGCTCTCGGGCTTGCAGCTGTTCAAGGGGTTGAGAGGAAGAATCTGGCAATGATGCTTTAGTGCCGCCCGGAGCTGTTGAGTTAGTGGCTGACAAGGATGTTGTCCCAACTCTAGTATGCTGTTGGAAGGGCTGTTGCGCCGATCGAATTCTCATAAAGCATCCCTGGTCAACCAAATTCTCGACAAATTATCCCAATATGCTGGTGGCCGCCTGTCGAGCTTCAGCCTTTTCGATTGATGTCATGGCTGGTCAAGATCGTAGTCAGGCTCCTGTCGTTTGCAAGATGGTTTCAGAGAGACCAGGCAAGGCATATGGCGCAGAGATTGTCGGTGACTTGATTCCAAAACGTGAAGTGAGTTAACAGCCGTCCATATATCCAAAAAGCGAAGGCCGCGTGACTGCTCTCCGAGGCCACGAATAGGATCATCGTCAAGGGCAGGTTCGCACGTGATCCCCGTTTATAAATAGTGAGCGATTTCCTATGGAAGAACATGGAAATTCCAACAGTTTTCTAACGGATTTTCTTACTGCTTTCTATTGCCTATAACATTAAAGAATATGCCTCCAATACTATCGGTCGATGATGCGATGGCAAAGCTCTTCAAAGCGGCAGAGACGATAAAGCTACGAGGAAATATAAAGCCACATGAAGAAAAACGCATACGAGGAGCGTTTGCCTTGCTCGCTGGGGAACGCAAGCCCGTACCCAGTACGAAAACGGGAGAGCGACGGGACACATTTCGGGATTTCTTAATGAAGTTGAACGATCATGATTGTGGACCACAGTTTGTCATGCTCTGCGTGGTTGGCCTTGGCCAATCGGTGATCGCATCGATGAAAGAAGCAATCCGCCTCCGTTTGCCGCTCGAAATAAAAGACCACGAGCGCACTCTAACAGGCCCCGTCTTGCAGCACCTTACTGAGGAATGTCTCAAGAAAAGTATATAGCTCTACTTCATGATTTTTATAAATTCTAACTTTGACAGCACCGCCAACTACACGCACTGCATTAGAGAGTGAAGCACCAGTTGCGGACCTGCAATACCGAACGGAGCTTCAGCAACCTTCGAAGTCTCTAGGGGGAGGTGCTCCGCTAGGTTCTGGGCAAACGGACTTCATCTCCGACGTCCTACAGATAGAGAGGCAGAGTCAAACAGGTATGTTTCGCAGTGGAAATTAAAGGCTTACAGTTAACACGTACATTAGGTCTACTTTCTGGGCGTCTCTTTGAATTGACTTTGCAAGATGTTCAGGCTATTCTTTCGTCTGACCAGGTTGGAAGTAAGGTGTGGCTAACAGAAACGTATGGCAACCAGTCGTTACCAACCATAACACTGACTATCTCGCAAGAACTGTGTATATATTTCAGTGCACAGCGCCATCAAGTATTCCTTCAATAATCATGGCCTAACGTCCCTTTACAACATACTTTAATTTTATATCTCCGATAGAACGATAATACCATGTGGCGTCCCAAGGCACAATAACTAGGCTCTTGATATTTTCTTCATCGTCATCTGATCCAATCATGCCAATAAACACATTCCCCCAACTATTGTCTGACGTCCGGTGAACTTTGAGAGCACCACCTTGGTTGGATATGTCGACTATGACTGCAACTGTGCCTGTAGGGGGGGAGGTTGGAGCTATTATTTCTTTTTGGGGTCCTGCTTCGATTTTGCACGCATCGCAACCGAGCTACTTCTATTAGATCCTATAATAGATGCCATTTTTAAGTAGGAGGCGGGAACATACCTCTTCGGAGCATATATCTCTCAGTTCATCATCCGTTGATAATTTTGGGGCTCTGAATTTGCGGAGCATGCTGCTAAAAGGAGTGTAGATCGGCTGGGAAGGAGATCGTGCGCAAGCAGCGAGATAGATTTGACCTGATGCCGCAAATGTTCTTGGAATGTGCGAAATAGCTAACGGTGAGGGCCTAGGTGGAGTCAATACTGCTTCATATAATCTCAAAAAATAAAGATTACTCACTTATAGCAGTTGCCACAACGACGGGATATACAAATGCAAAGCACATCGTACCGAGTCGTTCAACAATTTATTTCTTGAACATCATATGACGTCGGGCACCCAAATGGTGGGGTTCGGTGGATGACGTTCACGGAGAAATAAACTTCCGAGGCTATTATCGCAACTTAACTTGCCGCTTGGGGCCTCTTATTAGTCACCCTGATTCTTTGAAGATGAGCTATTTATCATGAAAATCCAATAGA